AAAACGTCATTAGTATTGTGTTAACAAAACAGTCACTTTCTCCGTCAGTCTCAATTACATTCAACAAAGTCACAAGTTTTGGTATAAAAATACAGATTCTCTTAAATAACCATTCAGTACTGTCAGTAAGCCTTGTAAAACTGCTACCGTTAATCGATCAAATTAACAGCTTTAAATTACATAATATATTACTTATCAAAAATGATACTTGCACGACATAATTCTTGTGCTTGTGTTATTTTATTTCTTTCTATTCGGACAGTACCGTCCATGAACAGGCTCAATCAAACCGAGCCTGCAACATTTTCAATTTTGCTGTGTTGGACTTTCTTAAGGGATTCTTATTTCTCTCTATTTTGTAGAAAATATTCACTAAAATAAGTAAGTACCTTAAAGATCTGTTGTTTCTTGAATAAAAACTTGTACTTAGCAAGTTGTTTGCGTGTGTGTCCTCGAAAATGAGCTCACAGCAGTTTATATACTACCCAGACTTCACACAAAAAGTGTGAAAGTTCACATTTCACAACTTGTGAAGTTTGCTAACTTCACATTTATTAACCCTTTCCCTCATGAGCATATTGTGAAAAATGGCCGTTTTAATTGAAAAGCCTCCTGTTAAAAGTTAAAACTGCTATGAAACTATGAAAAATGCTTCAATACTAATCAAACCTGGCACAAATGTTGACTGGACCATTGCCTTTGTAATGGCATGCTCAGTCTTAAATTTCCTGATACCATGGCAACGAGGGGACATCTCAAAATTGATAAAAATCACTATTTCGCCTTGAGTTTTTCCATCAAAAGTTATTTTAAAGTGCTGCAACTTCTCAGGGGATTGTGATAGAGTCAAAGGCTTTTCAGCGTTGGTTACACACATTACCTTATGATCGACCTGGGGCCATTTTTAGCCTCTCACAAGTCCAAAATTTTCTTTGGCGATGAGGGGGACTACCGCCCCCTTCAAACCCACCAAACAGAAGGGAGCGCATCCCCCTTCTGACAACCCTCTGATGTATCTTTTGAATGGGGGGGGGGGGCGGCGCCGAAAAAGTGCTCACTTTTTTTAGCAACATTTTTCAAACGAAAACACATTTTTTCACTATTTGAGGCCTAAAAGAGAGGTGGTGGAAAGTGCGTTGTTCGCGTATAGATGATGTCAAGGGTTAATGTGAATCCGGCTTCTCATGAAATAATGTGGAACTGTGAAGTTCACAGTCATTGGAAACAAATGAGATTTCTTTTTATTAAAATTACTGATATATTAATAACTATTAGTCTTATTTAAAAGAAATATGATTAATACAAAAGATTATAACCTTACATTTCCTTTTAAGGGTGTTAATGCTTTTTGAAATGCTGATTAAAGTTGTCTGACATCTCTGCTTTGACAAGTAAACAATAAAAGGAAGATGCAGTTACTTATCAACTACCTACAATGTTATGCAAACATGGCTGCTTTAACAAGGAAGTAAATTATGGTATCCTGCATTTACATACAAAATAACTGATTTAAGTTAAATACCTGACAATTATAAAGCCCGAATGTAAACGTGTTATCCACCATGTTATAAACACATTAAACAAGAAATGAAAATACAATCAAGCTTTTAAGTTTGGTTTTATCTGTCTCTATTAAAGTTACTATAGACCGGGGTATTACAGTATTGAGCATCTCTTTTAAAAAATAAGGTGAATTTTGTCGGCGAATGTTTGTTAAAGTTGTTGAAGGACTACCTGTCCGAGCAGCATCTTTAATAAGCTGCATGTGACTGTTTCTAAATTTAGCTTACCATCAACAAATACATCTATTGGACATTGAGAAATCCCAATAAATATCGCACATTTCACAACCTTCATACTGTGTGTGTTTAAGTTTGGTTATACCTGACACCGGAATAACCATATGCCAAAGATTATAGCGTCCTTGCCGGTCCACTGTTGTAATCGCATCGGGGACGCCGAATCTTTCTGAATCGTTTGATGGTGGTGAAGGAGTCGACAATACTGCCAAGGCATCAGCTTTCCGAAAAACGATAACAAAAGAATCCGTTGTTAACGCAACCCTCCAGAGTTAGTCACGGCAGGTCAACCAATTATCTTTGGTATTTGAGATGGCTTGGCATTGTAATGGATTGGTTCCGTTATCAAGTTGGAAGGATCCATAAGTATTTTAAGGGGATTCATTATCAAAATTCTATAATTGACTGTCTAAAAGTATGGTTTTTATTCAGATGGAATTAACTGGTAATTTAGATAATGTTAGATTTGTCATTATCGTCCCAATCACCACTGACACCACAACAAAAACCACCAAACTTATCATTGGGCTGTACAATCATGGACAATCATTACTATCATACGGTTTTCATACGGTTTCCATACGGTGTTCATACGGTTTCCACATCTTTTGAAATCAGCATGCCTTCAAATTCCTGCAAATTTTCCAAAAAAAAAAATAATAAAAAAATAAATATGCGTTTAAAAGTAAAATATTGTGAAGCGAACAAAGTTATTGAAAATGGCACTTACAATCTACGTACTACTTTACCAAAATGAGGTCAAAATATGCAAAATTAGCCCTTACTGCGTTAGTCACGCAGCAGAAATATGGTGATAAATACTGCAAAATCAGTCATTTATCACATATAACATGTAAATTATCACTTGAATGCTGGATCTGTTTACTTTTCTTAAAAAATTAGTATAATTTTCTCATTTTTTTACTTGAAACAGTTTAAGGCATATCGGGAAGTATGCATTTTTAAAGCAACGCCCACTACTATTATCATGTTTTATAATGACACAATAGATTCAGCATTTGATTTAAATAATTTTATGTGTAATTGCACCAGCCAACAAAATAGAAGAATTTGTTCTATTTTGCATAATTTGACCTCTTAATTTTTGGCAACTTTACGTGGATTGTAAGCGTGCTATTTGTAAATTAATATGTTTGTTTATTTCAAAAAACTTTACTTTTAAATACATTAATACATTTTCAAAATTTCCTGAAAAATAGCATGAATCTAGAGGCATGCTGCTTTAAGAAAAAAAGTAATAGTATCAACTGTTATAGTACATACCCTTTTCTTCTGAACAATTTCTGTAGCTTTATATATAAGTGGAGCAAAATTCGTCGGTCGATGAAGTTTAATCGCAAGGATATGCATCTAAAACTTCCCGGAAACCAATGCAATCTCCCTACAAAAAAAAATGATTTTCAGACAATCTGAAGTAAAGTTAAGCGTTGCTTAGTTTATTTTAAGTGTTTATGCAGGAAATTTGAACATATTCCATAACGCCTTTAGCCAAATTTATTCTTAAAAAAATCATGGAAATTAGCATGCTGCTTTAAAGCAGCACGCTTCCAGATTCATGCTAATTTTCATGAAAATTTTGAAAATGTATTCAAAAGTAAAATATTGTTAAGCTGACAGAGAAAATAATAGCACATTTCAAACGGCACTTACAACCATGTAAATTGTAAAAAAGAGGCCAAAATATGCAAAATAAACCTTACTGCGTTAGTAACGCAGTAGAAATATGGTGAAAATTACTGAAGAAATATGGTGAAAATTACTGAAAAATTGGCCATCAATCGCAAATAACATGGAAATTATTACTTTTATCTTTAGTCTTTTTACTTTTCATACAACCTCAATACATTGTTTTTGAGTTTTATTTTCTTGAAATATTTTGGCTCATCTGACGGCATGCAGCTTTAAAGGTTCGTTCATCACTCACTTCCCCTCCCATTACCATTAAGTTGTCCTTCCATTACCATTAAGTTGTACATCACTATGTTCTAACTATTAATTGAAAAATTCTTAAAATATAATTCTTTAAAACTTGTTTCGCTAATTTCAAAACGTACATATTTAATTCAATATGCATGTACAAATGTACATTTATGTCTCCCCGCTATCTTCTTCTTCTTCTTCTTCTTCTTCTTCTTACCGTGGTACCCAATTAGGTCAAGCAGTACTCTTTAATAACCGCGTTGTTATGATCGACTTCCTTTTTGTTTTAACCCCAAAACCAGTTTTAAAATAATATATGACATTGAAGTATATATTGTATATTATGACAAACAGTCGTGTAATCAAAGGGGGGCGGTGGCCTAGTGGTTAAGGTGTCTGCCTTGAAACACAGGGATCATGGGTCCGAGCCCGAATCATGTTTCTTCACATCACACCAGTACTGGTTGGTTCCACGAAGCGGACTCGAAAGTAATATAAGTTACAAGGTTTCGCAATCGAGTTTAAATAAATATATTTAAACCAAGTGATCAAATTTCTGACGTGACCTTGAAATTGGGATGATATGACCGAAAGTATTTAAAACATCAACATAAACACATCTTAAATATCTACCCCGAGTTATAGTCAATGCGTAGTATTTGGACCGTGGTAAAAGTGTGTATAAAGGTGAAGATCTTGCTTTTTATATCTTTAAAAACGTACCGCATGAAATAGGGATGTGTTATTGTTGACTATTGAGCATTCTTTAACAATATTTTAAACATAAAAAAAGATTTCTAAACACGGACAAATATGTGAACATTGTATAAATGTGAGATATCCTTATATCAAAGATTGACGTTGAACATGCTGTTGTTGTTAAGATAAAATGTTTGCGTTATTTTAACGCTCTCGTGAAAAAAATAAGCATCTAGATTCTATATATGTTTGATGTAAAGTTAGGTTTTGTGAACTGTGAAAAATACCATCGGCTTGACATACGGGTCATACTGTCGACTTTTTGTATACATGTATTTAAATAGCCTGTGAACTCTACACACAGACGAGAAAAAAAGTGGTAAGTTATAGTGATTTATTTATTCATATAAATATATGAATTTATTTTTAGTTAAGTGCAACATGTATATATAACGTACAGCAAATCGAAAGCAGACGATAATATATGTGCACGAATTCACCAATCAAATTTCGTATTATACATGTAATATGATTATTTACATGTACGTGTAGTTGTGATATACACATAGGTATATTAAAAGCAAATCAACACACATTTGACCAAGTTTAACTTAAATTGTGACAGTGATAAAAACTAGTTTTGAAAAGTATATGTACATAGTGAAGACGGTATTTATATACAGTCATCGTAATTTATGGCGAATACTTAAACCAGAAACTGCTCAATTTTGAAATGTATATGACACAGAACAAGAACAGAACATGTAAATCAAACAAGTATTTAAACAGTGAGTGAAACACATGTACAAATTAATATTTTCATTACTACATTCTTACGAATAAGTTGTTATTATGTCCTTGTCCTGTAAAGTCATAATTATATGGTACATTAATATATACATTGTGAATATTCCGTTATTATGTCATCACGGGCTTATAAGCCTTATTTGATTGAAATAAATTGTCTTGTCCTGTGGTAGCACGCCGGTATAATACTTAAAACTAATGTTATATATTTACGTAGGATGCTGTACTGTTATGGTTTAAAACTTCAAAAGAAACTGCTAAAGTTCTATAATTATGTTATAAATTGAACTCATCATTGTGTAAAAAAAAACTATTTTAGACCGTTTTGATACATGTATGTTTTTGTATGCTTTGTGGTTGCTTGAATGTTTTTCTGTACGAAATCTGCTGTGGTCATAGTATTATTTTTACAATAGGTTTACCTCTTACATTTGGTTTGCTATTTCTAATCATGGTCATGCAACTACATAGTTAGGTTAAGAAGCAGACGCTTGTTTTGGTTGAGTCTATTATGTTTTTTTAGGGGGTGAGTTGTCATACACAAATTTACAATTTGTATGCATTTATTTTTTTCCAATGATTGTTATTATCTTAAATGCTTCTGGGATTGTTGTTTTATCAATTCATTTGTAAATAAGATTGTTATATGTCTATAAACGGAATAATTTTAATGAACACGAAATTAGTTCACACCTTTATGTGTATTGATAACGTGATGGTTTAAGCCAATGAAAACACATCAATATTATTACAATCAGGCAGAGAAAAGGTTTGCAAGAGTAAATCGATAATCTTTATGTAGCAAACAAACTTTGAATTGCAAGTTTTTTTCCATATCTTTTCGGCAGGATAAACTGTCCGAGGCGGGCCAGGCATTTTCGTATCGTAAAATGGCTGCCATTTACAGTATCAAGTGATTATCCCAAGCACCACCGCGACTTAGCGCGGGAATTATAAATATAGCTAACCTCGGCTAGAAAATACCATTTTTCTTATTTTATTGTAATAAATATTTACAAACTGTGTCTTTCGGGTTTTTTTTTTATCAATTATAACCAATAATGATGTTTATATGAATAAATAATCATATCTCAAATCTGCGACTGTGACTTACAATGAAATTCTACCTTACCAATTCTACCAAAAAGTCTTCACAAAAAGTAGAATCTAGTATGCAATCGTACCTATATTTTACATACAAATGTATGTAATATTTTTCTTGTTTACCTACAATTATGTATATATTCAGATGGCTTCCGGCTCCAAACGTTTTCGAGCTTTTGATGACCGATTTTCGTCCGTTCCGGAAGTGGCACAAGCCATTAGAGAAGCAGGTTTGGGAAAATGCGGACTCATATTTGGTAAAATTTTATCTAGTTCCCAAGACAATTGACCCATTTTCAAAGTACATTTAATTGTTTGTCATTTAATTCCCGGCTACAAAGAAGTCGGCACCAAAACATCGCATTTATTCAATTACATACTTCAAGTTTTATAAATAGGTTTCTTGCGGTACTAAGAATTTTATCTTTTATACATTAATTGGTAAATTAAAAGATGTTTTTTTCCTTCCTTATCCTTAAGGTATAATTTTTTTTGGTGCTTTAGATGATTTTTTAAAAAAAATCCCCGTGAAGTCTATTTTTTATGGTGGCTATTAACTTTTTAATGTTAGGAGTTAGGATAATAGGATAATATATCAAAAACTATGAGGGTTTTCTAGGATTGTATTTTTAATTTGACATAATTATAATGTTACCTAACAGAACTTATTGTTGAACTAATTGTACCTAATTTCACAGAAAGCAGTATTATGTTTATGATGTAATACATTCACCTTTGTTTTCTTAAAGGAAAAATAGATATTCGTTACTTCTTCACAATATCCTCATTAAAGTAAAAGGCCTTGAAACATGAAAACATTCATAAGATTATCGCTTCATTTGTTTGATTTCATTGAATATCATAATGTTAGCTTTTCAATGTTTAAGTTGAATATTGCAGCCGTTACCGGACCTATTCATAATTCATAGCATATGAAACTGATTTTATAATGTTCGTTATGATTTTCGTTAGATTATAATTCCCATTTATGAACGGATGTAAGCCTATTACGAGCTGGCTCCATCAAACCGAGCCTGCTTAATTTTCAATTTTGTCGTTTTGACGTTCTTAAGGGATTATTTCTCTCTATTTACACGACTGTATCACATGTTGTTTTTTTTAAATATAGTACAGCAAAACTCTTTTACACAAGAGAAAAAAAATGAAAATCACCCCATTTTCATCAAACGTTATATAAACGTCGTCATGACTATCCAATGAAATTCGACGTTACAAACATGCAGTATAATTAAGCATTCAACTGTCCTGCTCCTTTCGTTAAAAAAACTGGAAAGTTGTAACGAGGGGAGATGTCTCTTTTGATGATATTGCAATTTAGTTAACATAATCTTCTTGTTTCATGTTGTTCGGGTGTCTTATATATTTTAATTATGGTGGCTGATGTACGCCATGTCCAAAATGCGAAAACACGAATGGACGACAAAATCGGCTTTGTCATCTCTTTCTGTTTTCGCTTTTCGGATTTCCGAGGCGAAAAGCGAAAATAAGACCGAAGGGCGACAATACGACACGTCAAAACTGTCGTCTATTTTCATTTCATCTATCGTATTTTCGCTTTTCGCATTGTTGTGTTTTCGTTTTTACACATTGCTGTATTATTTTACATTTTTTTACATTTAATTTTCGTAATACATTTTGTAAATGAAAATCAGTCGGAAAACAATCACATTATAATTTATTGAAAAAGGATACTATCGTGGTCACTATAGTCTGCCATTGTTGTTTTGGCATTTGTGTTATTGATGTCTCTATGGAACCGGAACGCGAAAATAAAATGAGAAAATGTAACAATGAGAAAAAGAGAAGTGCGAAAATGTGAAAATGTAACAATGCGAAAAAGCGAAAATACAACAATGCATAAATGTAACATTGCGAAAATGCAACAATGCGAAAATGTAACAATGCGAAAATGTAACATTGCTAAAAGCGAAAATGCAACAATGCGAAAAAGCGAAAATGCGAAGAGACTACAAAGTTAAACTTAATACATACATTTTGTATTTTGAACGTGAAAAGGCGAAATAACGATGGAATGCGAAAGTACGACAAATTGTATGTGTCGTATTTTCGCCCTCTTGTCGTATTTTCGCTTTTATGCCCCGAAAATCCGATAAAGCGAAAACACGAAGAGACGACAAACTTTGTCGTCCCTTCGTGTTTTCGCTTTTTAGCATTTTGAGGCTAAGAAGTGAAAATACGACGTGGCATTAATCAGCCACCATATTTCATTGAATGTCCAAATGAGCAATACATATGCACTTATTTGTATCTATTTGCATCTTATCTTTTGGTCTTAAAAATGCAAATGGACATTTTTAGTGTATCGGTTTGCATAATTTGAACAATGAAACATTCCTTAAGCACACGTGTTCGTCCGAGATATACTTTGGGGATAATTTTCTTCTTTCAGTCAGATTTTAACTGTAAAATATTTGCATATACTTCAAGATTTAGTTAATTACAGATTTGTAATCAATTACAAGTTATTAAGTTATTTATATCTCTATGCATGAATAACCTGTGTGTAATAAAGGTATTGATGACACTATGTTCGTCATTACAGGTATTGGTTACACTATGAATGTAATTACAGATACTGTTTATACAGTTTTGGAAATTAAATGTGTTAATAGTACTAAGTATGTAATTACAGATATTGATAACTTTATGCATGTAATTACAGGTATTGTTTACAATATACGTGAAATTACAGGTATTAATTACACTGTGTATGTAATTACAGGTGTTTATTACACTATGTATAAATTTGTGGATGTTGATTACACTATGTATGAAATTACGGGTATTAATTACTCAATAATAGAAATTACAGATATTGATTTCACTATGCATGTGTCAGAACTATGTGATATTAATTACACTACATATGAATTACAGACATTGATTACACTATGTATTTAATTACAGGTATTGATTACACTATGAGTAATAAGGTTCAAGGCGAGAAAACATTTGGAGGAAAAAGTCTGCACGCTGTTGAAGACGGCCTGAAAAACCCTTATCAGGAGGTTAGTTCACGTATTCCGTATAAAATAAGATAGAAGTGACGTTATATCTCATATTCACATTGAGTTAGCTCGCTCTGGTTTCACATGTGTTACAAGGTGAGAAATATTTGTACCCTGACTTGGACTCGAACACGGGACCCTAAGAATACCATTCCGCGGTATTATTCGTCCCGTCCGCTTACACTTCATCTTCTCTAAATAGTGAAAATTTCTGAACCGTGACACATGAGTACCCTTATAGTGCTGGTAAAGTCTATCTCTGGGCCAAAAGGCGGAAATCTTTAACCACTGAATACTCTGCACCATAAGAAGGATGCTTTGGTAGGTGTAGTCCTTTATATACATGTCACTGTACACGTATTTTATTTGGTCATACATTAGGATGATATATCATTATCATATGTACATGTAGGTGATTGAGGTATTGGGACAGACACTGGAATGTTTTGATGATGACAACATAATTCCGGCGTATGGTTTTGGTGACTTTGAAACTAGAGACAAATCCATTTTTCCATTGAAAAAGGTAGGTAATATATGTTATTTTGGCAGGTAATTTATCCACATATATCACTCCAAAACCAAAATAATAATTTTATTACCCTTCCCCTGCCGAGTTAAGAAGATTTTAAAATAAATCATTGCTACTTCAAATAAAACGTCGAAATAGGATTCCCTTTAGGGTACCCCTTCATCACTACATGACGTCACATAAATACATGACGTATTTTCTTTCGAACCTAACCAATGTTAACAAGAGAAAAGGAGTAGTCTGTTGAACGCACTTTTATGGAATTAATATCAAGCTTTCTTAAGGTCATATTTGTTTTCAATACTGATGAGAATATGTATGATAACTTTATTTTGGTAGTATTTATCATTTGACAGTTAAAAAGTGCTTGTAAATCGGAATTAAAATCGCGTAAAATCAAACCGTACGCGCATCGCCATAGCGCATGTTGTTAACAACGTGGGGTACCCAACGGGGAAATTTAGTGTGTATATTACCCGTCTGGCTCGGTTATATCAATTTCTTTCGGGTGATCATAATCCAATCAAAAAGGCGGAAAAAATCTGGAAGGGTAATAATATATGTTATTTTGGTTTTGGAGTGATATATGTGGATATATTACCTGCTAAGATTTCATATCACCCGAGCCGTTAGGCGAGGGTGATATTTTATTTTGGCAGGTAATATATCCACATTTATCACTCCAAAACCAAAATAATAATTTTATTACCCTTCCCCTGCCGAGTTTAGATGGTTTTTTAAAAAATCATTGCTGTTTCAAATGAAACGTCGAAATAAGATTCCTTTAGGGTACCCCTTCATCACAAACATGACGTCACATAAATACATGACGTATTTTTCCCGTACTAACGAATGTAAACAAGAGAAAAGGAGTAGTCTATTGAACGCACTTTTTTGTAATTAATATCAAGCTTTTCACGAGTCATATTTTTTTTTTAATACTGATGAGAATATGTATCATTTTTCTACTTTGGTAAATATTTATCATTTGACAGTTAAAAAGTGCTTGTAAATCGGAATTTACACCGCGTAAAATCGAACCGTACGCGCATCACCTCAGCGCATGTTGTTTACAACGTGGGGTATCCAACGGGGAAATTTAGTGTGTATATTACCCGTCTGGCTCGGTAATATCAATTTATTTCGGGTGATCAATATCCAATCAAAGAGGCGGAAAAAATCTGGAAGGGTAATAATAAGCTATATGGAAGTTTTAATTTGCTATTGTAGCATTTTTAGTTCATTGTCTTATATGTTATACATTTAAAAAAATATTCATGATGATTATTTATGTATAATGGCAGCTTGACTTATATTGCCCTAGCTATGGTATTAAACATTATTTTAGTAATACGCTTAGTAAGTTTTTTTTTTTTTTTTTTTATTTTACTTCACGATCATTTCGCGATTTTCTAGTTTACTGGCGGAGGAACATCTTGAGGCGACATGCCTCCAGATTCATGCTAATTTCAATGAAAATTATGTAAATATATTTAAAAGTAAAATATTGTTAAGTGAGCAAAGAAAGTAATTTTGACATTTTGCAAACGACACTTACATGCCAAGTAAATTAATTACCAAAAGAAAAGAGAATAAAATATGAAAAATACCCTGAATGCGTAAGTCACGCAGTAGAATTATGTTGATTTATAAGGTGATTTATACAGCAAAATCAGCCAATAATCGCATATAACATGTCAATAGTTATTTGAATCTTTTTACTATCATTATAAATAACTTTATTACATTTTTCTCAATTTTGGATTTTCTTGAAATATTTGGCGCATGTGGAGGCTACACGCCCTTTGACGTCGGTAAATTAAATATGAGCTTTTTGTAATATCTATACCATATGCTGGTAAAGTTTAAAATAGTTGTCTTCGAGTCAGAAAAAAGCAAACCCTCGGGAATCTTTTGTATTCTTGGTCAGAATATTAGCAAAGTTTATGCGTGAGTAAAAAAAAAGTTATGTGCAATTGTCAAATACTGTATTGTTGGAGGATCTATTAATTAAAATTGCGTATTTTGGTTCTTTTGTGTAGGAGTTATAAGCTTATAGACACACTTTCGGATTCTTTCATGGAACCAACCAATACTTAGCATTAAATGTAAAGTTTCTTGCACAATGAAACAATGACTTGCCCCTCGACGGGGTTTGAACCTGGGCGACTAGCAATCATTAGATTTCTAGTCCGACGCGTTAATCACTCCACCGTGCTGCCACAAATTGCATAATTAAGGTTGCGGTCTCACTTAAACCCGGCAAAGTCCAGGACCACCCCGGTATTTTTCTGGGATGATTCGGGACGATCCGGGGTGAAATTATAACCATCAGTTCTGTAACTGTGTTTATTCTTTGTCTGTTTTCCTATGCAATATTTGAATATTTAATATACTGCAAATACTGTATTAATGTATACACGCTAATGTTTTCATATCCATGTCTTAGCCATATTTGTCAACATTAAGGCATTAAAGGCATTATGGAAAATGTTCCAGTTTGGTGAGTAAACACTGAAAGTAAACTAAGCAATTTTTAACTTTACTTCAGATTGTTTCATAATCATATTTTTTAGGGAGATTGCATTGGATTTCGGGAAGTTTTAGATGCATATAACAGAATTACACCTGCGATTAAACTTCATCGACCGACGAACTTTGCCCCACTCATATATAAAGCTATTGAAATCGTTCAACAAAGGAATAAGGTATATGATACAATTATTGTCTTTTATTACATGCTTATTGGTGGTTTATAGAAATATATCAGTGATATAAAAATGGTAATTTCACTGTTGAAACAGTGAAATTACCACTTTGATAATTTCACTATTCTGAATTACGTTGTTTCAGTGCAATACCAGCGTACACAGTACTGGGAACCACTTAATGACATGACGTCGTAAATGACGTCACGTTATATTATTATTTGGCGCGCTTTTCATTCAGTATTAGGTTAAATGTCTTTTTAAAACGTTTCTTTGCATATAATAAAAAGAAAATTTGTTTAGTTTAATGTAAAATCGAAATATATTTCACCTTGTGAACACCAAAAGTTCATATTTCACTCGTGGCTGCGCCACTCGTGAAATATACCTTTTGGTGCTCACTCGGTGAAATATATTCCGATCTTACACTGAACTAAACAAATATCCTCTATGTCTTAAGGCGGCATGCCTCCAGATTCATGCTAATTTTCATGAATTTTTTTTAAATGTGTTTAAAAAGTAAAATATTAAGAAGTGAACAACGATATTAATTTTTAACACTGCAAACTGCGCTTACAATCCACGTAATCTAGCAAAAAAAGGTCAAAATATGCTAAAGTAGTCCTTACTGCGTTAGTAACACAGTAGAAATATGTTGATTTATACTACAAAATCAGTCCTTTATTGAATATAACATGTAAAAGTTTATTGAATCTTGAATCTTTTCACTTTTCTTTAAATCTTAGTGCATTTTCCCGTTGAAATAGTTTGGCAGCTTAAACCATAAGTTTTTTTAGAAATGATATAATCAGTGTGGCCATACCACGTGACATTGACGTCATTTTCGGCATCATTTCCAAGACAAATTACGCTCGATTCGGAAAAGAAAATAGCCGTAAATATTTTATTTCTGTACCAATTTCTTTGAGATATGCCAGTCTACGGGGAAAAAATATAAGCTTTCCACAGAAATTGGATCTTTTTTGTCAGTTTTATAAGCCGTTTTACAAAACACTTTGCATAACCTTGGAAGTTGCTTGTATTAGAGCGGGCTCAGTTGCAAGCTATTTCGTTTTTCTGGCGTTATCATCTGGTCTACGTCATGATTAAAAAAGTCAGGTTTACATCAACCCGGGAGTACGGAAGGCAAAACTCTACCTAAATATGTTCATATTTTTATTATGGAATGACATAAATCTTAAATTTTTCTTCAATTGTCAATTCTGGCACCAGTTCCAAGTCGAAAAAAAAAAGGACTACAGTTTAAAAGCAGATTTAGAATCCGTTCCAAATGCAAAGCAACATGCCTACCGTTCTCTTTCTTAAAATTTAGTTTTTCATTGTTGATCTTTCACAAGAGAGATGGTGAAAAAACTGATTGTTCCTAAAAGCATAACACTTACTTGTATCACAAAAGTGCACGTAAAATCACGTAGATATAGTTCTGTCGGAAAATAATATTTGGTTTGTTTTGAAGATGTTTAAAGTATTGCTCATTTTTATCCTATGTAGTAAAATGTGTTTTATTCTATTTCACAATGGCGAAATTGATAAGAAATATATGTGCTCTCAGTGAGAGAAAGAGTTAAAATAAAAAAAAAACACTTTTGTAATGCTATGGAAAGGGTTACACTTTAACGCGACGTGTTGTAAAGCTAAAGGTATTTTTTCAGTTTATTTTTGTAAAGAGTAACTGACAAACACTGACACTCGTGAATGTGACGAAATAGGTTCTTTATGTCTTCAAAAGAGAGACTTTTAAGAGGTAATGTATTTTTCTGGAAAATTGTTGTATAATAAATATCTAGAGTTTGATAAACGAAATCACAATTTTTGAACTTGGAAGTTGCATTACTTGTGAATTCTCTATTTATAAAAAAAAGACCTAAAATAGCCATGAATAAGAACGAGAATGGACGCCATGTGGAGTAAACAAAGTAGAAAATAGTAAACAGATAAATGATTTTGTACAAACCAACAGCCACCGATCACAGTCAAATTTCTTGAACAAAACATTCAAAAAAGACGGAAATAACAATGATTATCAATAATAATTTAAATTTACATTAACATCTGTAATAGCAACATCGGCAAGATCTACGACTGGGG